GCTATCCGCGAACCGCCATGCAAGTGTAACAGTTGCATGATACATAATGCATTCGCCGTTCATAATGTAGGCTGTGTAGGGCACGTCGAGATACTTCATAGGTAGGCCAAGCGCGGCGACAAGCTTATGAGAGATCATGCTCTCATAACTGCCTGTGTCGATCGACCACTTGACGTACCATTGTGATTTGCTACTGTGATCAGGCAATGTGGGGTCTTGTGCAGGCTGAACTGTACCATAGTAGTAGTTGTAGGTTGCAAGGTGGGGATTGTAGTCAAAATATTAGTGGCATACGATGAGTTACCCTTGCCAATTGTAGCTGACTGCGTCGTTGCATGAGAGTACTTGCATTTGTCGCCGAAAATGCAGGTTCCAGCTTAGAACTTCCTGCAGGGCTCCAGAGCCGTTGCAATAGAGGCTAGCTCAGCTGGGGGCGTTGACGTAGTGGTAGTAGTTGCAGTAGCTACAGTAGTATAAGATAGGGTTGCATGTAGAAATGTGCATCGAGTACCATAGGTACATCGTCCTTGAAGGTTAAGACGACATATGTTAGTGGGTGAGTGCTATGTAGGTGCATTCTGACTCTCCTGTTTGTAGCCGCTAGATTCTTCGTAAGAGATACACCAGTCCACCATGTCATTGAGAGGAATAGTTGCTTGAGGGTGTATTTGTAGGAGTGGTTGTCGCAGCCAAACTGGGAGGCCATCTAGGAAGGCTCGACGTAACGCCGTGAGGGGTCTCTCGTGGTTGAGATAGCGCGCATGTTACAATGATGCTGTGTAGGGCTTCGACATTCTTAAAAGTAGTGTGATTGATATCTCGGGCGGGTGGTGTGCATGATATATATTGTCCACGTTGCTAGTGATAGATCAACGGTTGTTAAACGAGGTGCCTTGCCATACCTTGCCGTCTAGTGGTTGGAAGCCATAGAACTCCTGCTAGAGACTTAGCGGCCTCAGTTGTGCTTGTTATAGTCGCAGATGCTGGAATGGATGTTGAGGTCGATTCGGACGAGTAGACCGAAGAAGACCGGTGACGATTAGCTTTGGATTGCTTGAGGAGGCGTAGACGATCTACATTATGTTGCAAATTGCTTTCTCGATGTCCTTAACGCTGACGAACTCTAAATCAGATACATCCTTGAGCTTGAGGGTTGTAAGGAGTGGTCTGTAGGGACCCTACAGTAGGGTCCAAGGCCAGCGGATTCTCCACCAGCTGTTGGGGTTCCAACCATACTAGCAACGCGACGAAGTGAGGATATGTGTGAGCTGCACTTGAATCTACTTGAAGTAGACTACTTCTGAGCTCTGAGTGATACGTTCCTTCGCCATGTTAACAGTGCGAGAAAATATGCACATGGTGAGCTATGTTAGATTATCATTCGCTCTCTAGAACAATCTTGCTGTCTTGAGATTTTGATACTTCGTTGTTCATCATGAAACGGTTGAAGTAGTTCAGGGGGAAGTCCCAAAAGTGATTAAGTTAAGTTTTTTCCTCTCTCTCCTGAGATTATCAACAGAGTCGTGTTGGTATGTACGGTAACGAAGAAGTTGACTATGGTGATGATGACAGTATTTCATCCTCTTGGGATGATACTGCTCAATCGTCGGACACTCATCTCTTTCATGGTGCATCATCCGAGAAAGAGAAAGAGAGTGATATGGTTGAAACCAATACTGGCACTCATGGTGACGACCTTGCTTTCATGAAGAATATTCGTGCTGCTGCGCAGATGGTTACTCGAGCTTCTGGTGATATCGATTATACTGGTAGGAACCCTGTTGACACGCTTCAAAGGGTCCTGGGTGTGAATATGGGGAACCCCATATATAAATGTATGGCTTTCAGATGCCCTAAGGGCAAAGATCTTGGCTCTTCAGTATTTGCTTGGGCTCGATCTTGGAATGTACAAACCCACCCTGATGGCCATGACTACACTATGGTTGAACGTGGGAAGCCCCGTTCATGGGATTACCCAAGGGTGTGGGATAAGATTTGTCAGGCCACGACAAATTGTCAACTTGATCCTGCTCCTTTGCAACTGTTGGCTCTGTGCCTGGTCGCTCCGAGGGCCATCAGTGACCAAATCGCCAATGGTGCTCTCAAGGACCTGAAGGATCACCAGACCTCTGACCTGCCAACTAACTCTTGTTTGTTAGCTTGGCAGGATGTCAACAATAAGTCATCTCCGAGTGAGATTGCTGATGCCTTCTCGAAGTTCATTGAGGGTTGCCGTCGTATGGTAAAGCAAGCTAGAGATGATATGGTTATCTTGAGTACGGCCGAGCGACCACATAAGTACAATCCCATCCTACTTCTACGTGAATATGTCGGCCTTCCTGGCAAAGTCAAAGAACAACCCCAACCATGGAGTCGAGTCTTTGCTCGTGAGAAAAAGATCATCGAGAAGATCGCTGAACACTCGGACGGTACTGAGATTAATTGGTCCATGCGACGCCTTCTTTATGTTGAGCTCATTGCTTCGAGCAAACGCTGGCAATTGAAACGAGAATCACTGATGGGTTGTATGGAGCGCATCCGTACCAGTAAGTGTCCCGAAGATGTGATGGAGATATTAACGGAAACTGCCTATGAGGCAAAGTTCACTAGCATTGATACTCTCCTGTACTTGAAAAGATCTAGTGGAGGTCCCTTAGATACGGGTGAGCAACGAGGCGCTCCCAGAGCAAGAATAACGACTGGTGATGTGAGTACGACCAACAGTGAAGTTATTATCACTCCTCGTTCGAGGAGCTCCTCGACCACTGATGATGAAGTGATTCGTAGAGCTCCAAGGTCAAGTTTTAATCCACCTGCTCGGATTAAGTCCGTAGCGGCATCACATGGTATAAGCATGAATGACTTGATGACTAGGATGAATAAAAAACTTTGTATCGTGTGTGGTGAGAATGGGCACATGTACATGAACTGCCGAAAGTATGAAGTTTCTGCCTATCCCGAAGGTTGTTGTGCTGCTATTAACAGTGTTAATAATAAGTTACTTATCGAGCCTGTT